ATTTTGGATGTTGTGTTTTTATTATCAAGAGGAGAATACTCATAATTAACAGTATAGTCGTGAAAACATAAATCTGTTCGTAATTAATCTATAAAGTATGTGATTCATAGTGAGGACCATGTGTTGACTCCCAATGACTTCCATTAATTTTCACACATTTTCAACACTTTCTAGGTCCTACCCCTAAAACTAACCCAAAACCTAACCATTACCAATGCATACTTCACCCTAACCCTAACTCTAATTGACACCTTAGCAATAAACCTAACCATTAACAAAATAGCATGTGAGGACCGGCAAAATGTCCTCACTTTGCAACAACTCAATGTCCTCAATTTGATGGAATAGTCCTCACTCTGAGGGCTAGACAGGTAACCACTCCCACACACACATACATACCGTGAGGCTCAAGCCAATAAGATTGCCAGTTATTCAATATCACTGTATGGAGTAAAAGCTGAACAGGGCCACAGATGTCCCTAGGGGTGTCCCGATACAACTGTTTCATTTCCGATACAATAATACTGCAAATTTGAGTATTGACTAATACAGATATTGACCAAATACAACATCAGCCCAAATTATACAGATGTTTATTACTTATTTTCTAGTTTTCTGAAAATAGAAAAGGATTGTTCTAGATGCTGTGTGTGTTTACCTTAAGTGGTGTACTGCAGGTTACCATGTCTACTGCCTGGTAGCCGGCACACCTGGTGCCCATTACCTCAATTGGATCCAGAGGATTTAAGGAGTTTCACAGAGATCTTTCTACAGCGAATGATTAGCCTTGTAGAGTAGATCCTATCACTACTCTCAGAAACAATGTTCTTTTTATTAGGCTTTTCAGTGTGCTAGTTACTTGTGAAATCATAACTTCAGACTCTCCTCCTTTGCTCTCAGGTTTCATCCGTTGTCTTTTTTGGAGCTCTTTCCAAACAGAAGAAATTAATACAACAATGATTTTAAAGTCACCATGTGCAAATAATTTGAGTTAACAGCCAATGACAATGGAGAGCCCTCAGTATCAGCCAATAGTTTAAATTCGTTAAGTTTATTTTCAAGAAATAATATAAAATGTTTGTCGGAGGCTTTCCCCATAGCTCCTTGTCATTGTTAAATCTGATACCACTGTCTTTGCATTTTTTTCTTTGTTTTAGATAAAAATCTGTGATAAGAATACTACTGTTGGAAACAAGGAAGGAAGAAAATTAGGATGCACTGAAACATACAAGACACAAGGAGGGAGAATATTAACCTTGTTGGAATTCATTCAAGCCACCACAGACAGCTTGAGTAAAGATATTTTTTGCAAAATCTTGCTCAAGCTGAGTAACCAAGGTGTTAAAGTTTTTACATAGATCTTCAAATACGCAAAGTATGAATTTGATATTTTGAATTGCAGATCTTTATATGAATAATCCCCAGCCAAGTTATCCCCAGGAAACTAGTAACGTTTTTCCTACATTTAATCTATACCCTGAAAGTTTTTTGAAGGTGCATAAGACTGAGAGGGCTGAAAGGGCAGAGAGATTGCTGACTGATTTAGTGTCAGAGGAAGTGCAACAAGAATTAGCAATCCAGAGAACATTTCCAATATATATGAAACGACCTACTTCAAAAACGTTCAGTAAAAACTTTAAAAAAATTGAAAGGAAACCAAATATTGCAAAAATAAGCAGTAACAGCAGTTGGAAGCTAAGAAAATGTTGGAATCATTATCAAAAGTATTGCATTGCTGGATTAAAGCCCTTCTCCTCTTGTGCTCAAAGGACAAAGGCTGGTGGCTGATCTAATCACAAAAATATTAAGGTTGCAAAGTTCTTTGTGTCCAATCTTGTCAGTCAGGGTTTTTTTTTTATAACTATTAAGTGTTGGTTCTCTTAACATGAAAGGGAAAGTAAAATGTTCAATTACAATTTAACTGCACTCTGTTATCTCCAATCTATGTTTAAAACATATAATTAAACGGATCTCTTTGTCAGTCTAATACTGCTTAAATAAAAATTATTTCAAGTTACACATATTCGTAAATAATTGGAAAATAGGAAATAATAATAATAAGAAAAATAGGAAAATTCCTGAACAACCTTAAAAAAAATACTTATTAATTTTTAAGATAACACAAACAGAATAAGATTGGCTGAAAAAGTTGCATATAAAACAGTTTGACATAGTGCAATGTGTTTGCTTATGCTAAGAGAACAAGAAGGAAGAAATGTTATCACTTGTTATCATCTGTGCTTTTTACGAGTTGCTCTAAGTAGCAAGTCTGTATGAATACTCCCAAAGCAAAAGGGTGTAAAACATTTTTTAAAAAGTCCTTTATTCTCTTCACTTTAAGAACATAAGAGTATTTTGTTCAAAGGCTACACATAAACAGACACATAGCTGAATATCAGAGGGTATAGGAAATCCAAAGTAGTTTCCTATGTCATTGTAAAATTATTCAACACTTTCAGTGTTTATAGTCGACTTCCTCTGGGATTGCCCTGTACAGCAAACATGACAGGTTGATAACTTCAAATAAAAATGTCAAATTTACAGAAAAGGTTGACAAAGATTTAACCTCCTGAAGGAAAAACCCATTTATTCGCCCCCACAGACCTTCAAATTCTAAACCTTTTGAGGCTTAACAGAGTTTTATTTCATAGAGCTATGGGGTCTTTTACTCTTAAAGGGGCCAAGCGACTTTTTTTGATTTATAGAGGAATTTGGTCTTCATTTCAAACACAAAAGCTGTCATATATTAAGCCAAATCTTTCTTCTTTTAGAGCCTCCACACACGTTATTACTCACTATAATGTTTTATGAAACTGCCCTGTCAATGTTTAGGATTTTTTTTAATTAATTGAGATATTAGGAATTCATTAAATCCTAACCAAAAAAAACTACATTTGTTATATATCAATCTCATCACCTTCTATGACTCCAATGGAAATGGAAAATCTATCCATTCCTTATATATTGATTCATTCATCCATCCATCCACTGCTCCCAGTTCCTATAAATAGACATCGGCCCCTAACAGCTGCAATTTTGACCCTTATTGTGCAGGGCCCTAAGGTGCTTCCAGACCAAACAATATAAGTCCATAAAACAAGCCTAGGTGTGCCTTGAGGTCTCCTTTTGGCTTAATAGAGTTTGAAGAGGGGTTCTGATCTGATACCAGTGATCCCTAATATCACATCAGATGAAACCTTTCCAGCAAAAGGAAAACATTTTAACATTGAGCTTTTACTCCAGATTGAGTACTCCACATTTCATATTTTAAGCTAATCACAACTCCTCAATAGAGCGGACTCATTTGAGAGGCTTATGTATGAACTTTGTTCTTTGAGGCATCATTCAAATCTTTTCATAACTGGTGAGAATCTAACCATAAATTAAAGCAAATTTAAGAAATGTAGAGGGTGTAGCTTCTACAGAGAAGCACATGCACAGACAATGTATCATCCCCCTGGACCATTATACCAAGATATTTGAATCACCCCACATGAGGGTGGAGCCTGATCTCTGACTTGAAGGTAATACCCTGGCCTATATCAACCTTGGTTTCAGGACTGTAAGCATTAACTCTTTTGATAACTTTTCTTAAATACACAAGTGTTCAGGTTTCAAATGTGCTTTTGCCTCGAAAATAATGTTGGCTACATTGATAATTGGCTAGTTTTTTTTGGGGGGGAAACCTGGGCTTATTCAGAGAGAGAGTTGTGTTGTTCTCTCAATTAAATCCCATATAAAAGGTTTTTAGAATTTCCTTCTTTCATCTGCGGAATATT